ATTGTCCAATTGAATCTCTGGTCTTAAAGGTTTCTCACATTATTTACATTTTTCCTTTGCTCAGAGCTCAAAGCTCAGAGCTGAGAGCTGTACTTGGATCTGGCATTCCTGAAGTAAGTCCATGCACTTCACACACTCACTTTCATGTTTTCTGAGGGAATTTGTATTATAGTAAGAGTTCAAAGAGGTGGACTTCAACACAACATAATACCAGCAAAGTACAACCCTTGCAAAATATTTAGGTAGAAGTATATAGTCTATAGTAACAAATGTGCTTGAAAAGAAGAGGAAAACCACTCAAATACAACTGTAAACAATTGTGTATATAAATTACATCATTATATATTATGCATTAGGCTTTCTACCAATATTTATACAAATCCTGGCTCAGGTTCACACTTAATCCCACAACAACAGCATTTGTGGGAGAGGTACCAACACACCAACACACATTTTAACATGAAGTGAAAGCATTTTTATGTTCTCTAGAATCATTAAACTCCCACAATAAACCCTCAACATATTTTGGTGCAGATAAGGCTGATTTACAAAGGAACCTAAGACATTATCACACAAACAGAGTAGCGGTTGCCAGGTGAGTTATTGTGAGCAGCTCCAGTGAAAGGTTAGAAAGAGGAGTCAGATTTCACATGAGCTGATTGTGCTTAGCTGTCATGGCAACCCAAGACAGACCTGCGCTCAAGTGGCATAAAGTGTTAAGATATTAGAACAAGGAGCAAGGTCTACTCTAAATCAGTATCTAAAATAGAACTTAATAAATAATTAGGTGTAAATTTAAGAAAACAGGTTCGCATTGTTTACTGTTACTATAATTCTACTCATGCTAAAACCACTTGTTGATCATGCTGTCACTTGCCTACTAGAACTGCCGACTCACCACTACATATAAGAAGACAGTGTTCGTGAAAGGGTGGGATTAAGATGCAACCACAATATTGATAATTAGATTAGGATGATTTTTTTTTTTTTTCTTGTAATGTGAGGAGACACGCCACACTCTTATAATCAGCATGAACCGTGGCCTTTATCTGTCCCATCACAGCCAGTCCTCTAAATAATTCAGGTTTATGAGAACCTCAGTTGGCACCCGGGACATGGAGAAGTCACGGGTCACTCATGAAGGACAGTGTAACATCGCCATCTATCGGTGAACATGGAACGGTGCATAAACACAAAAACCAAAAACAGGTGCATGTTCTCATCACTGGCTGACCACACATGCAGTATTTTGTGCCTTTGTGTTGTTGTGGCTTATATGTTTTGAGGCAGTATTTGGTATCCATATTAAGTTAAAGTATTCAAGTATTAAAAGTGCACTATAAGACTATAATATTATGTTAATAATATAATTATATTATATCTAATAATATAATATAAAATATAAACATATGTAATATAAATATGGATTTGAACTGAAAATGGAAATATGTGTGAATGTATGTATATGGGGGGGTGCGTGCATCCATGTGTCCACATACATACGTACGTGGGGGGTATTGATATATGATATATATATATATATATATATATATATATATATATATATATATATATATATATATATATATATATATATATAGAGTATAAAATGCGGTGTGTGTGTGCGTGAGTGCGTGAGGGAGTGCGTGCGGGTGTTTGTGTGTGCATGTGTGTACTAAATGGACATTGAACATCTGAACATCTCTAATGAAATTAATAAATATATATTTCCAAGTTTGTCACCTGCTGGAGATGTCATTGCTTTGCTGTTATATATCTAAATATATTTGTCTCCACTGAGATATATATGTTTAATGTCCTAATGTAGAACAGACATGTCAAACTCAGGCCTGGGGGCCAAATTTGTCCCACGATATAATTATATTTGGCCTGCAAACTCATATCACATCTGGATTAGAGCTGGCCCACCGGCTACAGATAGCCTATGGAGACATTATTTATTTAAAATGTTGTTATTATTTTATATTGTGCCTGTTCTGGATTCAATGTTTGAGCAAAACTATTATTAAACATTTAAGAAAATGTTTAACATTAAATATCTCAAAAGTGGTGAAAACATGCAGATGTTGTTGACATTTTTCAATAAATATTTAGTTTGACCCACAACTTAGTCCCAGTTTTTAATTTTGGCCGTCTATGAATTTGAGTTTGACACCCCTGATGTAGAACATTCTTAGCCTTCAAAGCTTTGAGCTCTTCATGGAGATAAGCAGTTGGCAGACCCCCCATCATGAAAGTTAAACAGTGCACCTTTAACATCTGGCAAACACTTTAAGTAAATCAGATGTATTGTGTTTTCACCCTCGTTTCTCCTTACCGACTCTGAAACTGTTGCATAATGGGAGTGTTGTGCAACTCACTAGAAAATGCTGGTTTGGGATTAAGATATTAACCAGCAGCGAACAGGGAGGATTTGGGAAAACCTCCACAGACATCAGGCAGATCTGAAGTTGAATTATGTGTTTATAATTAACTGCTGCAGGAAATCCCTCATGTTTAATACATGTTTGGGGGCTTATATAAACCATTGAGAGTCTTTAACTTCTTACTTTAATTGGGAGGTAGCTTGAGTGGTAGGTGTCAAGTGCATGATTAAGCTCTAGGCAAAATTCAGGCTACTTTTAATTTACTCCATTTATAATTGATTTCACATGATTTTTACAATGTACAATATCACAAAGACACAAAGGAAAACCTCAGTGCTGTTCATAGTAGGAGATATTTGCCTAAACAAATGATTCTTCAAAACTGGCTTCAGTTTCTACATCAACAAGCGAGAAGCAGCAATATGGATTCAGAGCTCACAAGAACACAACATCCACAAAGACGGTAACAGATAAACTTTACATTTTTCGATGGAGAATTATTACAGGTTAGTGCTACGCAGGTACATAGACTACTATGTACTATGTGAGTTTGTATAAAGGACTTATATCATTGCCACTGTTACTGTTACTGTTATGGCTCATGCATTCCACTATACTGCCAGAGTTATATGTATCAGAGGTAAAGTTTGCAGTAGACTACCTTAATTTAAGTCATAAGACAGAGCAACTCAAGAAGACTAATGAAATGCAGTACTTTGACACACTTCGGAAACAATAATTGACCACTAGGCCTACTTATCCAGCAATAGACTACTCGCCTGTTTCCATTCTATATTACTATAAAGTACAGCTACTTCTATTGCTACTACTACAATCCTCTTAGATTCTGAAATCAGCCTACCTGTAAATTAAAATAAATATGCTTTCAAATTTCAAGCGAAACTCTCATGTAGCTGGTAGACAGATTGCCTGTGAGTTCATTGGGGACACAGCAGTTCGGGGACATGCCTCCTCATTGATAGTCTGACTACAAACAAAGTACTGGTGATTACTTCCCTGTAATCTGTGGTCTCATCTACACGGGCCAGAAGTCAGCTGACTCTAGTTTCACTCTCTTTCCCTCCCTCCCTCTTTCTCTCTCTCTCTGTTTACCCATGATGATCCTGTAGTTCTGTGGTTCAGTAGCGTGGATATACAGCTAACACTTTTTCTCATTCACAGAAGACCAACAGATGCTCCTGAATGACAACATGCAAAGGTCAGTGCTGCTTAAAGTGCCTATGACACGTTACACTACTCATTTTACTAAAACACAGTTAAGACAGGTAACTCATATTTAAGATTTCTGCTAAACTTCTTAAAATATTTCCCAGTAGGCCAGTTTTTTTAGATTTAAAATTTTACTTCCTGTATGAAAATACTGACACTATGGAATTCTATAATTGTTACCTATAGAACCATGTTATACCGGCCCAAAACTAATGTACACAGGGATTATTATCTGACATATAAAAATATAAGAACACTTTTACTTTGTTAAAACCATGTTTAAAGTATTGGGGAAAAATGTGTTTATCACATGTAAATTGTTTAACTTTTGGTTGGAATCTTCTTATGTGTGATGTGTCAGTATGGAGCACTCTAAAACACAACTCTCTATTTTCTCTATAATGTTTTCAACTTTTCTTCACAAATTGTTTCTTACAAATATATTATATTTATATTATATTTATAATCCCACCAAATAAAGTCAAAATTACAGAAACCCTGTCAAAAAAACAACAACAACAAAAAAACTGTTTTATGGAAATATGTAACATTTGTAAAACTGTGTGCATGAAGCATTGGCTGGGTCATAGGATGAATTTGTTTACAAAATTGCTGATAAAAAATAAGGCTTTAATGGTGAATTTTAACTGTTAAATAGAGACTATTGACTTTCCTCATTGAAAGATGCTCTCATTTTTTTCAATAACAACATCATAAACTATACACATATAATATAAACTATACTATATTGTTCTCCTAGAGAACAATAAATATAGACTAGATAACAGATTTTTACCTTCGACATGCAGCATTCAAAGTGAAATAGAAATCTTGCTATGGAAAATTGTCTGTTCAAGATTCTGACACAGACTGCTAAATGATTAAGACAATTTATCAATTCTAATTTCTGTCTGTTAATTATTATTTTTGTTGTTTATTTAGTTGCTTCAAAATCTTGGATCATAATTGATTTGCACAGACAACAACATAAGCCCTATAAAATGAAGAAAATGTAGGACTGTTGCCATGGCAATTAACAATAAAAAAGTCCTTATAATGCCATGCATAGGCAAAACCATGAATAGGAGAGCTTTAATTTAACTTTAAAATAAATGTAATAATGTTTAGAAACCACGCTCATTGTGGTTGTGGTCATTCAGTTTCAGTTTCAGTTTGTTTCATGTCTTAATTTTTTTTTAATATATTGAACCTGCTGCTGCATTAGGTTGCGCTATTTGCCGAAGCCACACGATGGCACTCAGGAGACGCATAAACGGGCAGTGTCTTTGCGCATAGTGCGTCTCTCCTCTCTCTGCTCCACCGTCCTCACGCCTCCTGTCTCAGCACCAGGACGCAGCGGCCCCTTTAAGAAAGCTCATCCCAGCACTGACGACATTTCCTCGGCGCTGTTCCGATCTCTGTCCGTTTGGTTTCCCCGAAAATCGACCACAGACACGGGAGACGGAGGAGCTATCTGCGCGCTCCGGGCCAACGACTCTGGTTAGGTCAGGCGTTTACAGTAAAGGGAGGGGGCGAGGCAAAGCGCTTTTTTACCCTCCGTGTTCACACAACAAGCAAAGCAGAGGACAACATTTGAACCAAAGAAACGCGGATTTTTGGTGATGGATGGATAGGACGCATAGCTTTGACCGAGGCAGTGTGGATGTCCTGAGCAGCAGGTGTATCCAGGGATAAACGGGAATCTCAGTGTTCATGAAACTTTGCTACGATTTACGTGCTGGGTAAGAAAGACAGTTATTTTTACATGATTATGAAGTTTGATTAAGAAAAGATGAACTTGTCTATATTTACATACCTCTCACTGTGTTTCTCATTTTAGAGCAAGGCTTCAGGTCATGTCCAAATCGACATAAAAATGTTAAAATATTATTTCAGGCTATATAGAAATGGTTAAAATGTTACGCATGGCCGAAAACTGCACACTGTAGTCTATTAGCTTTCTATGTTTGGTGTATGCCCATGATCACAGCATTAACTAATTTAACAGGTTATTTATAGCTAATCTAGGTTTAATGTTAAGTCGTTGTAATAGTTTTGTCTCTCCGTAACTTAAAATAAAAAAAATGTTATGGTTTCGTTTTCACCAATCAGCAAGCAATCCAATTTCTTTATCTCTAAACAACCGAGCTACCACGCTTTCAAACAAACAAACAAACAAGCAAAAATGAATAAATTAAGCACTTCTGGTTTTTTTTTAGATGCTTTTCATTTGTGATTTACATTTTAAAGGTGCCCTGTGTCATTTTTCAGGTGTGGGTTCCACCAAATGCTTGCCTTCATTTCTGTGGTCTTCATGGAGATGTTATTGCTTTGCCTGGAATGTTCCTCAGTAGAAAACATGCATTCTGATTGTGAGCAAGGTCATCTAACTTGGCTTAGTTGTGTCACCTGTTTGTCCCTATGACGTTTAATGTCATACTGGAGAACTTTCTGGACAAACCATGATCCTCCAGCAGAAAAAGTTACATTGTTGTGCACCTTTAAGACTCCAGGAATTTGCATTGTGTCCAACTTCTGTCCACATGATTTGTTTCTAAGTTATGGTGTTGTGGTTTCAAAGTTCCATTCATCTGTGGATGTTTGGCAGTTGCGCGCTGACCTCAATTGATCTCTCCTCATTTACCCCAGACACAGCTCACACTGTACATCCTATTTTAGAGGGTCAATACAGACGATTGGGGATGAAATATTGAGTTTGTGTCACTGCTTATATAATCAGTGGTGGAGTAGTAGCTGGAGTGTGATGGTAGGCTGTTATCAGTGGGATCATGTGGTGTTGGGTCATGTGATTGTAGACCTGAATTATGCAGGCTACATTTTTTTTCTTTTTATAGGAGACATACTCACAGCGTTCACAAATAATTTTCTGGTGCAGCATCATGTTACGAGATTTTCTGATCTATGCTATAATGTTATTTCCTCATCAAAAACATACCTGGAGTTTTTCTTTTGTTTCATTCACACATGTTTAACAAACAAATCCTGCATATCTACGCAGAGTTCTTCTCTCAAACTCAGTTCTTCCCAGTGATGTCATGCGGTACAGGATAGAAAAAGAACTCCAATGTGTTTTTAAAGTCCGTACACCTTCAGTAGAATTGTTTGGATGATATCAGCCCTAGAATTGCCAAACTCTACTGAACTAAAGGTGAAATGTAGCTGTTAACTTGAAAACTATCACTACATGACATCACAAGGTGGAACAGAGCATTTTGAACTTCAAAGATGTAAACAGATTAATAATAAAGGGTTACTCAAACATGTGAATGAAACAACACATAACTTCTGGTTTGTTTTTGAGGAGGTAACAACATTATAACATGGCTTAAAGCTCAATTTTGCATAATATAGGACATGTAATTTCTTTGAATCGGTGTGCTATCATGAATGGGTATTTCTCATTGTTTGTTAAATGAAATGATTCATCATTGTTTGTTTTGCGATGGCCTATGATGTAAATGTGATGGTCAGAATTTGATAAAGTTATGTTCATTTTGTGGCATTTGACCTGGAAGATTAGTCACAATCAAAATATGCATCATGAACAGCGTGTATCCTCCTCCCTCATATTCTGTGACCATGGCAGTCTATTAATCTTGCCTAAAAACTTCTACAACCTAAAATGTATAATATATAGTCTTTCTCATAACTAAAAAATGCTAGGTTTTCAGCCCTAGCTTTCAACATCAGTGGGATCTGGGATTATTTTGCTTTCACTGTCATATTTCAGTACTTCAAAATGCTAAAACAAGTGACAGATAGACAGACCTACTAGCAGTATTTATGAGATGTTGTGTCTCTTTATTTTCTGTTATGCACTTCCAGAGCTCACTCAAGTGTCTAATAACTTAACCATTTTTGTTTAGAAAATTTCACATTTAACCTTGCCATGATTTAATTAAAAGTTGTTGTTTTGTTTTGAGCTCATATGGGGAATTACTTAGCTAATGTTGACATTTTTATGAACCATTTTAGCTACGTCTTTATTCCCTGTCAGGTCTAATCTATCCTTTCTTCCTGTGGGATCTTTGTGATGGACTAACCTGGGCCAGACAGGATTTTGGCTGTGAAAAATACGGGCTGCTTTTTATTTTTCCTCATCCAACGACACTGAGCCCAGAGGGTGGCAATAATAGATGGACCGAAGCCTGTGCTCTTATCTTGCCCCTGCCCTTCCCTCCATGCAGTGTTGGCTTGTACAATTGGCTGAGCTATATTTGGCTATAACTATATGTCAGTTTAACTTCCAATTGAAAACAGAGACATAATAACACATTTAATCTTTGTAATTAAGTTTGCCCTTTGTCTGGTTTCCTCTTATCATTGGCAGGGCTCCCATAAGGCAATGTTATGAGAGCATTTTTACTTCAGAATCCTATATACATTTGACAGTTTAAAACATAGTAAATATATTTAAGATTTAACCAAAAACTTGGTTATGTCTTTTTAAAAAATATTTTATTCTGATAAAGTTTATAATTTTACATTCTGGTTTGACACAGATGCAGATATGACATACAAAGAGGTAATTCCAAAACCTTTACGTAGCAACCATAATGTTAACACAGGCTAAACTGCACAATAGTTTTGCACAATAGTTATATGATAAGACAAACACAAATTTATGATAGCACCTTTGTTTTGTTAGATGAACAGAAAACATGCCTTCTTTGAGCTTAAATTAACCCTGCATTTTGGATGTAGTTTTATGTTGATGATATAAGTAAAGATATGAGGTTTTTCATAACTTCCCTCTATTTTAATAAATAGAAAAAACATGAATACCTTTCCACTTAAATGAAACACTGTAGGCCTATTCAGATCTTGTACTAATTGGTCGTTGTTTAAAAAAATTAGAAGTTTAAAAATATAACAGTGAACACTCTGGTCTATTCTCTATTATGAGATAATCATGTAATACTTGCAGCTGTCTGGCACATTCCTCATTGTCTTATAAAACATGCAGAAGCCAAGAATAGCCTCGCAGCTTCTCTCAAGGTAACACATGATGACAAGAACACTCATTTTACAACCTTTTTGTTTTAAGTCACTGGAGTTATCTGATGCCATATTGTGGCATTTCTCATAATAACAAAAAGTTTTTGGTTACCTGCTTGTTTCTATGGATGTGTCACTGCTCTGCTTGGTGTGTTCTAGTTAAACATTAAACAGGTCTGCCTTACTTTTATTCAATTACAGATGGTTTTATAGCTAAAAAATATTTAGAAAAACTTTTTCTAGTGAGCACGGTTGCCTCTTCACAGACTGACTTGACAATAGAACGGTTTAATGCCATACTCTGAAACATTCCAGACAAAGTAATAACATCTCCATGAAGAAAAGATTTTAACTGACCCTCCACCAGAAAAATGACACACTGCACCTTTAAGATTAAAGTAAGCATGAAGTAGCTGTGGTAGTACTTATTTACATGTGTGTCTCCACACATGTTGTTTTGCCTGGACTGTTCCACACTATCATATGACATTAAACTCCTCTGTCTTCATGGAGACAAAAAGAAGGCATCACCAGGCCATGTTACAGGTCAGATCTGTGGAAAGGCAACCACACTCATAGTAGGAATGAATCGTTTTCAAGGTACACAAGGCAGACAAAATAAATACATGCTTAATGCTATACTGTGGAACATTATAAGCAAAGCAACATCATCCCCTTGTAGACAAGCAGGTGTTTGACCCTCCACCAGAAGCATTCTAGCACCTTTTAAGGATTTTATTCAGAATATTACAAGATAAGGGCTGTGTTAGTGAAAAGAACTGCAGTGTTACTCATTATTTCACATTGTAAGATACCTGTGAATCATTCGACCCTGAACCTGAGATAATTAGCTTGAGTCTTGCCCAGAGCCTTGTATCAGACCCGCTGTGAGACACAAAATTACTCAGTGTGTGTCTTTAATGTGTCATAGAAGTTACATCCAAAGCAGCCCTTTTGTCCCTTGTTGTTGTCTCATATACTCTGTTTAAGTGCTTTCACTGCCAGTCCCCGCCCTTTGCTCTCATAGCTCACTTGATAGGAGATACAATACAAGGGCGTAATACTAGAAGAGGCTATCTCATGTGTTGAACTAGCATCTTCTTTTTGATAGCCCATGGTGAATTTCGAGCAGGAGGCTACATGTCTTCAAAACTTGTTCAATATAAACAATAAACTCAAACTGTATTAATGAAGAAAAGGATTAGCAAATGTCTTGTCAGATGTTAGCTTGGCCATCATCACATTGAAATTAGATCAGAGGTGGATAAATTATGAATGAATGAACACTCTCATTATTACGATGTAAACACACAGAGACAAACTTCAAAAACACAGCCATGTTTACAATGTGAGATATATAGAAAGTTGGTGTTCACTTAAGTCACATAATACTTTTTAGCCAATACATAAAGAAATAGACAGAAGAATAGAAGAAAATCATGCTTTTATTTTCATTGGATGGATGAAATGGATGGTATTTGGCTATAATGTTCCATATTATGACATTCAACTTATCTATCTCCATGGACAATTTTCCAAAGTATGGTTTGAAATTTCTATTTCAGATGGCACCAGCTGCTTCTCTCAAGTTTTATACCACACTGGAACATTCCAGACAAAGCAACAGTCAGGTGTCTTTTGCAATATTCACACATTTTCACTGCACCAAGACAGCCGTGTAATCAAATGTATTAAAATAACTTCACTCAGTTTAAACTTGCAA